ATTGATGCTGCCATAGTTAATAATGTCATAGTTAACTATGATGCTGATATTGTTGTTGCTGCTGCTACACTTTCTTACTGTTTTTTTCCTTTTTCCACATTTTTCCCCCATAAGTTATTATTTTGTCGTTTCATACTACAAGTTAAATCCATCTAAGTAGAGTATACAGTCAACTCTCTTTACAGCGGATACCCTCGTGACCGTCACTTAGTGTCCATAATAGCAAGCGTCCGCAATAACGAGAATTAATTACGGTCATATCTTTGTCAGTATTTTTGGCCGGGGATTTCGCTCCTGTCTGTAATAGCGATAGTCCGCATGGCGAGAGTTAATTGTAACATGTTTCTGAAGCCTTTTTGGAATGCTTTATTTTGAATGGATTTGTTAGAGTACCTGTTTAAGCTCTTCTCTGTATAGTTTCATTAACTCTAATACATTTGATGGTTCTGATGCTTCTGAATCACCCTACAGGTCAAGGAGATAAAATGTTCATTCAGCAAATCATTATTTAACACACAAAGAAATAAGTCCATTACACAAATAGAATTGATTTTTTTCAGCAGTTGTAGAGGAGTTTTCATTAAAGTGCCTATGACCTTTATTCTCCTTGCTTTTCAATATCGAAATATAACCTATTCTAAAAAACGCGTCGAAAGAATTTGATTCTGACGCTTCTTTCTATTTTTTTTCCTAGCGGTCAAAAGTGCGAAAATAGCAAGATGTGGCCAAGCGACAGGGGAGACTGGGTTAGTGACGTCAAAAGAGCAACATGTTCTTCTTGATGTGAAAAGAAATGTATGGGATACTGAAAACTTCCTTGCATTTCTTGGGTTTTTTAGAAGTCTTTGGACTTGTAACTGCTTTCTTGGGCTTCTATGAGGAAGTTCATTATCTAAAGATTCCATGTCCAGTTCTTATTAGGATTTGTAGATTAATTTACTGGTGTATCGAAGCGAACACAACCTAGTAAAGCAAGTGAGGTGATGGAAGTGGTTCCGACCCGGGGTTCCGACTAGTCTCCCCCACAGCCGCTTTCAGTGTCGTCACGCAGCGCTTTCTCCCCTCTCGCTCAGGGGAGAAAGCGCAGCATGACGACACTGAAAGCGGCTGTGGGGGAGACTAGGTTCCGACCCAATCAAATATTATCACATTGGCTGGGGATAAAAATTGTAAAATTTTAGTAAATACAACTAAAAGTACAGAAGCATAGATAGAAATTCTAGCGAGCCRTTATATGGAACCGCAGCTGATAATAACAGGTAACATTTTACCCGCCATTGCTCAAACTGAGTCATCTGTGCTACGGATCGGGAATTTATTCTCGGTTTATTAAAGAATCAAACAGTTTTGGTCAGTGTGGTAACATTTCAGTGATTATTAAACTCTTAATTCTTAATTGCAATGTTAAAAGGGCTGTAATGAATGGTTGAGACAAAATTCCCGTACAATTTACACAATAATGCTACTAGTCACAACATTATAATTCTTTGCTACCGTAGAACCCCTTGAATTTCCCTCAATAGACGATCGTTTTATCTTCAAAGATAGTTATGGCTAGATACTGTGAAACAGGATAGAAAACTGATAGAATAGAAAATATTATATTTGAATATGAAACTAGTTCAGTACTACTACAGTATAAATATATAAYGCAATTCATTTTTAATAGCTTTTGAAAAGTGTTCAGAAAAAGATTTTTTATGAACTGGCTGGAGTTATTTAATGAATTATTCTGTTGTTTATATTTGATGTTTCAGACTTGGAATCGGCYTGGAAGAATTTTTGTGCGGCATATCCATTCACAAATATATGACATATCAATAAGAATAATGCTAAAAAATCCATTAGTTAAAGGGTGTAGGTAAATGTAGTGCTCAGAGTTACTGTATGTGAAATCCATATGTTTTTGAAGCTAATATATTACACTTGATTCTGCTCGTGACAACCTAATATGAGGTTTTYCCTAGGATGCRTTTATCTTTTCGCTGCTTCTCCTTTCTTAAAATATAATCTCTCCAAAAATAATTTCATTACTGAACGGTCTGAAGTCCTTAACATCCTCTAGTCACAAAGATGAGGCCTTCAGTTTGGAGGCGTAAAAAGGGCAAAGGTCATAAATACTAGTGACATTTTTAGAGAGAATGAGGAGACATCGCTATGACTCTCACTTTAGAGACCTTCAGTTTTGAATAGTCCCTTCACGATTCCCTGCGCCATCTTGAAAGGTAGCCGTGCCTTTGCATCGAATCGATATGAAAGGTGAGCTTGCAAGAGTGTTCAATGTGTTAAAAAAGTTGCAAGCTCAACGTAATTATGTATAGTAATTATTACTGGTGGGGAAAAAATCCTTAAAACGGGCTAAATTCAAGAAATAACCACGCAGAGCGAAAGAAGTGCTATTTCTCAATGATCGGGTAAAATGTCGAGGCTTTATTTCACGTTTCAATGATTTTATTGAAATGTTTGATGAATCTCCATACATTTCCTYATAACATGACACCACAGAAACCAAGCTTGAGCTACCTGTGATCCCTATGACGGATAGTTTTTCTTATTGAGCATGCCCAAAATCGTGATTATGTCAGCGTGTTCCAAAATTTGCGGATACGACCGTCTGGGCGTATTCGAAAATTTCCACTCTGGAGACCGTTTTCGAAAATTTGCGGATACGGATAGAAAAATTTCCAGCACGTGTGGACGCAACCCGTATTYGCAAAAAAAAATTTGCGGATACAAAAATTTCTGGATACGTGTGGACGGGGCCTAACACGTCTAGCCGGCGTTTTCGAATTGTTCCACTCTGGAGACCGTATTCGAAAAAAATCATTTTCGGTGAAGAATTGTTCAGGATCCGCCAGGACTAGTGTGGACAGTAGGCCTAACTGAATGAATAAAAATTCGGATTCAAATTTATCCGGCATAGTGTGGACGGGGMGTCAGTCTGATTTTTCACTGACTTGGGAAAATAGCGTTTTTCTATTTTATGCAGGTAATACAAAGTTTGTGATTAATATTCTAATTTCCCTTATATTTATCTTTCCTTTCCTTTTCCTGCTTATACTAAATTTAAAATAAATGTATTTCTTCCTTCATTCTGCCAAGAAGAAGAAAGACTACTAAAAAAATGAAATGATTGAAAAATGGAATATATCCCAAACCCTACCGTAAAAGAAAGATAATTCGAAGGCAATTCACCCTTACCAAAATTCAAATGAAGATGAGTACCTTAAAGAATTGTGGGACTGAGAGTTGGGGGWCAATAAAAAAAGCTCTGAGATCTGAGTCTACATTTAATCCCACATTCCTAAGCATTCAAAGTCATGACCATGTTCCCATTAAATTCCAGAAAGACAAATTAAACTTACTGTGATCCACGGATGAATTAAAATTTCTTTTGCAGTTCTGCGATGAGCTGGATCAACTTTTAACATTCCAAGTAAAAGGTTTCTGGCTGAGAAAAGGAGATAAAAACAAATATTTCACTATGCATGTTACAACAGTGTGTATAATAGTAACATAGAACGCCAGACAATACCCAATGCATCTCTATGTTAAACAATTTCTCTCTCTTTCTCTCCTTCTCATTGACAAGTTCAAGATCATTCAGACACACATGATACAGTTGATTAAAATAATATACAATTTGTATATAAACTCTAACTATATGAAGGTATTTCTTAAAGTGCATACAATCCCTAATTCATTACTTTGAGAATTGATTCTACATTGATTAAAYATATTAAGTAGCCCAATGATCAAATATTGTTTTTGAGTGTTGCATCTTTAAGTTATGAAGGTTAATACTTTCAATATATTAATAACTGTAACGTCATTTTTAAAAGGCATTTGAATGTAATTGTTGTAACTAGATGCTGGCCTTTATCAGCAAACCTTCTAAATATTGGCCATTATGACTAAAATTCAATACTAAGTACTGAATTGGGCTTATTTCAGTCCTAGGTAGGTACAAAACGAAGATTGAAGACCAAAGACCCTAAAACGAAGATCCCCCAAATTTACCCGAAAAAGTGCTGAAAGAACAGTGGGTCCTCGATTGTCCTCACAAAAATACTCGATTCTGATTGGACAAGAGGAGTACAATGAAATCTCAAATTGTACTCTGTAGAGCCTAATTAAATTCAATTTCGGTGAGTGTATTATAAGCGAATATACCCGAAACTGCACTGAAAGAGAAAACAATTGATTCAGATGTTATTGCTGATCCCAAAAACAGAGTAGCTCTTTATCCACTGAATTTCAATTGGAATTAGAATATGATTTTTTTAGGGAAGAAAACTGGAGAACCCTGAGAAAAACCCTTGAAGCACAGGAGAGAACCAATACTTAACAAGCAAACCCATACACAACGGAAATTACCAAATTGGCTCTATTTATTAATTAGTGCATGTGTCCACTTAATAGAAGTGCCTASTGAACAGTGGTTCATCTTACAGTAAATACAGGGAGAAATTTTTGGGGCCCTTGTTAGCACTGTACTTGGATGTGGTATTGTGTAGATCATGTATATACAAAGCAATATTAACATCTGCAGCTAAAAAATTAACATTGGTTGAAATCTCAGGTGCTCACCTGATTCATGACATGTCTCCCAACATTCATCAGAAAAGTCCACTTCACCCTTTTTTATTAATTCATATAGTTTTTCTTCTGTATCAGCCATAAATGGGGGCCTTCCAGTAAAACTAGATAATAATATTACAATGAGTAATGCAGGCAATTACTATGAAGCAATTCAGTTTTATATTTTACAGAGTTCCAAAATCTCCTCAACATATGACAAGTTAAAAAAATCAGTTACTACTTACAGAGTAAACATAATAACACCTATACTCCATATGTCACACTGCTGACTGTAACCAAGATCATCTATGACTTCAGGAGCTGTGAAAAATATTTATAATTTCTATCCATATCATTCTGCACAATTTTTACTACATCTAAAAAATTATTCAAAGTTCAATTTTGTTGAAAGTTCCTTTAGGTCTGATTCAATGTTAAAGAATGACAATGGTTATCATAGCAGAGAGGGTAACTCTAGTTTTCAAGGGGAAAGAAAAAGATAGGGTAACYTACAGTAAGCTCTACATTAGAGCTTGTTATAGTAAGGTTAACAATTGAAAAAAAAGCAAAACAGAACTATTAATTGGCAGCAGCAATTTTGATAAAATCTATTCATCTATTTACTGATAGTTATTGCTGTTAGCACATTCCATCAAAGTGCCCTCTTTATGTAGAATTAGGTTGGAAAAAAAAGTTCTATTGACAAGGTACTGTCTGACAGGTTTGCAAATTAGCTATCCCTTGTTTGTTTTTCATGTCATCAGTGCTTGAAAATTCTGGCAAAATGACTGTACTAGTTGCTCTTAAAATTATTTTGGTACCAAACCATAACATTGACATCTTACAAAATCTGCCTCTCCTCTTTACAGTTCTTCTGGTACCTCATGTACACGTATGTTGTACACACAAATAATATAGTGTCAGAAGTTACTTTACTCACCCATATAAATAGGAGTACCACAAACACTTTGCATCATAGAATCGCTCCCTACCCCACCCTTGACAATAGACAAACCAAAGTCTGTTATCTGAAATTATTTAAAAAGGCAATAAGTTGTATTAATCATTTAATAATTATATCATTTATGACTGATTTGATTGATAACTGGCAATTACCTTAATGTTTAGTAATTCATTGCCAACTGGATGACTCAGTAGAATGTTCTCTAGCTTTAGGTCACGATGAACAATATCTAGAAAATGTAATGGGATAATTTAGTCACCACATTTATTATTGTTCATAATAATAATTTTGAGTTCTTAGCATTCAGAGAGACGTGGGAAGATGTTGACAACAGCATGGTTCATGACCTCTGTCCTACAGGGTAAAAGTTCATTCATCATCCTAGTGGATATGGTGTTGGCATGGGTTTGCTGTTTAAACAAACCCTTAGGACCCTTGTGTAAATCACCTTTACAGGCAACATAGGTATCCTCAACAAAGATTACTTATCGATTTATCGAAAGACATTTCATGGGTAAAGTCTAACAATGTGACATGTCTTATAGCATTCAAATGCTTAAATGTCCTTGCTAGACTTGTCTCATAGATCATGTCTCTAATTTAATATTATATTATGATAGTACATTGCCATCCACTGAACACCCTTCATAGTATTCATTAAATAATTTAGCATTCTTCTTGAGCAAATGATCTTACAAAGTGGTTAACTACTCATTGTACAAGACTTTAATATCCCTGTTAATAACCCAATTGATTGTCACAGTTTTATCAGCTTGATTGGCTCTTTTGGCCTCATTCAAATGGTTGATTTTCCATAATTATCATGGTTACACTCGACTTGACCATGTTATGTAAAAGAACAAGTGAGACATCAACCCCTATTCAGTCCCTCAATTCAGTGTTATTTGACCATTTTGCAGCCTAGTCCGAGGTTCCATTGGCAAAGCAACCATTTAAGAAAAATAAGATCTTATTAGAGAATCTGAAGTCTTTGAATCCTGATCACTAAATTTCCAAACCAGTATCCAAGAATCACTGATTTGTTCAGTTAGAATTCTACTACAGTACTTTAACAGAGCTAGTTGATGGTAACTCTAAGTCACTGACTCTACACAGTCCTAGGCCTTGTGGTACCGGCCTTGTCATGGGTGCTTTCCTGAAATTGTGCATTATCACTGTAGGACTGTTTGYATAAAAAGAACATATTGTAGATGCAAAAAAACAAACATTGTAGAGCTAAGCGTTGTTGGCGTTGCAAAAAGGAGCTTATGAATAAATTGAACCTGAAGCAAGTAACTATTAATTCCTTGATATGCTCTTCAAATCAGATTAGTATTATTAATAAATAATAATCATGGTTCTGTGATTTAAGAAAGGTAATTAAAAGGCTTTGTTTAATGCCATTGATAAAATTCTTCATTGCATGTCTGACAGGGCATTACCAATTTCTAATTTTAACCAAGGCCTGGCCAAATGATTTGCTGACTCCTTTGTCAATGAATTTTCTTCTATGATAATAACAACAACGACGACGACAACAACAACGACAACGACAACGACAACGATAATAATAATAAGCCTGTGTTCACCATTTCTGTCATCAACCAAGAAGTCCATCATTACACCATCACTGAAGAAATAATTGTCACTGGAATTATGTGTAGACATTTTCCAACTTGTCATTTATTATTAAAATATTATAAAAAGCTGTTGCTCTCCAACTGAAAGAACATTTGTCCAAGAACGGCCTCCATCAAATGACGATAGAAAAATGATGAACACAGGATAGATGATCCTTTCCATAAAATCTATTGTTACTGACACTGCATTCCTTAATGATACGAAACAAGACTCTCTAAGAGCATATACTGGGTTGCCTTGTTATGACATCATTCCAATGTTTTGATAAGCAAAATTTTGTGAAAATTAACRTCTGTAATTCTTATAGCTCTAAAATGAAGTCGGATATCCCCTTTCTATTTCAGTCTTTGAAAATACTTTGTAATAACTAACTTTAGAGGAAAAATCACAAAAATCTGACTATGGGATGAAATCGAAACAAGACCAAATTGGCTCAGAACTTAGTGAGATTATTTCACTCAGAAATTTTTTGTTTACTCGCTGATATAAGAYGAGCTTTTCTACAAATTGCTTTACTTATRTTATTCTGCACGTCAAAGCTTCAAGTTTAACTTCTGGTTTTACCGAGATTGATATCAATCAAGCCGTGGAAAAATAAACAGTGTTTCATTATGCATGTTACACTATTTAACAACCTAGCTTGCCACGACCCGACAATATGAAATTGTCCAAACTTGCCCGCTGTAAATAAACCCGATGAAAGAAGTTATGTCAGTATTTCACTCATAAAATATTCATTTGCTCACTCAAATAAGCCATCTTTTCCTAAGAATTCTCTTTATTCGGGTTTGTATATCACTGGTTGTTTCTTAGAGCAAATCTTCGAGTTGTTGACCGAGACAGTGTTTATGATCTGATATCGTTTGAAGCCTAGTTAAAAGAGTTCATTGAGAAACACTTGATTTATATTGTTCTTTAGTATTTTTTCAATTTCTTCTTTTGTTGTTTATTATTTTATTGAAGAAATCATTGCGTAAAGTTGACTGTTATTRARAGTGTTTGCCGTGGCATTGAAGCTTGTTGATTGCCCTTACAAAATTATTTTACTTGTAGTCTTCATTCAAATCAAAATTAAAACTCGAACAAACCTTTTAATGCTTTCTATGTTCGTTTATAGCATTTAATTTCACTGAATCAGTGAATACGAATGAGAATAAATGACTTACTAATAAAGCTCCGCGATGAAAGTCTACGGCTTGAAATTGAAGGTCGCCAACTTTATTTAATGATGGACTTTGCTCATGTCCCGATAAAAAGCTGAAGATATATTTTTGGCCACATATATCCTCAAAGAACATACACGATTCRATTCCACTAGCCTGCATGTTGCCTGCATGTGAACTCGCACATGAAGTTATAAACACATCATTGATCCAATCCATATATGGGTAATATTGCGCAACTATTCCATTTTGTCGAGAAGAAAAAAAAAACAGACGTATTTTAAGACTGGTTTGCCACAGGCAACCAAGTAATGATGTCTCTGTAGGGCAACTGACATGCTGTTTTTCTACTTTTACTAAATTTGTCTGCTGCTTTTGACATTGGTGAACAAAATATTTTATCAAGGCTAGAGTTGCACTATGGAATCACTGACCAAGCTTTATGGTGAATGGAAATTTATTTGTGACATCATTTTAGTTTTCCCTAGGTCCATGGATTGGACTCAGTGAACTAAGAATTTTGTAAGCAAAATTTAAGCAAAATGGAAATAAAGATAATAAAAATAACAAATATATTTATTGGGTAACTAATAAAGTTTAACTTTTTTCCGATTAAGCCCATAAATTATAAAAATTATATTGCTTTGAGTACACAGCAACATTGTCTGCTGAAATAGCTGTAGCATATGATTTAGCTCTCAGCAATCTTTGATATAGTGCAGAGAGAAAACAATAGGCTGGAGTATTGTATAGTGATTATGAAGACAGAGTGTTCAATGTCATTGCCCCAACAAAGTTGTGGAACAAACTTCCTTTTGATTACCGGGTTACCTGTGGACAATTGGCATGTGCCAACTGTCAATCAAATGAATGTTAAACTATGATGCCAAGCGATTAATAGAGGGCAGAGCTGGTATATCATGTGAAATAAATTAATGCCTACGATGCTCTTTTTTGTTGACTGCTGTTATTAAAGACAGCCGAACTAGAAATATTAATTTACTGAAATGTAAACAAGGATTTCTAGCTATAGATGGTGAGGACTTCGAAGAAATGATAATTTCTAAGAATTTTCAAACTTTATTGGCAATAGATTATTTTGGTTAACTATCCATGCTTTGATTTAGTATTCAAAGCAGCATTTTCTGTAATCCAACATCATTTGTAAGGGATAAACTAATCGTGTTAAAGAACTACATGCCTAATCAATGTCTTCAACTTTTAAATTAATTTGCAAGCTGACCCGATTTTGATCACTAGATGCTATATTGTAAAGGTATTTTGGCTCTAAAAACTACTACAAATAAATACTATGAGTTATTTTGAGTTTTCATTTTGTTATTAAGAGTAATAAAATGATGAAAATAAATTTCTAAAATGCATGAATTTTGACCTACATTTTCTTTTAGAAAATGTCCATTAATTTCAATAAATAAAGATTAACCAAGGAAAGTATGAAGAGTCAAGCAATTCTGAGAGAAATCCTGAGCAAAGATAAGCACGTCTTACCGTTTAAAAATAAAGCTTTAAGATTTAGCGACTTTTGCAGCTGAACTATGCAGAACATAATTCGAACTTCTTTGGAAAACATACTTGCCTGCACATCTTCTACCATATTTGAATGCTAAGATCTGAAGTTTGAGGGACTCCTGGAATTTGGATATTTTATATCATTTGGATTTTCTCATAATTTTATATTCAAAATGATTTTCACTGTATATTAGTTGATCTGTCATCTAGCAACTTATTTTCACTTTGCCCTTACCAAGGATCTTAGCCCACTAAGCGTCTAATTGTCCAGGTAACCCGGTCTACTTACAAAATGACATAATAAATTAGAAGCCCCTATATAAGATATAATCATATAACTAGCTAAAATAAATATTAAATGGTTTATAAAAATGATTTACTATTTCTCTGAATGACCTAAAACATGACTATGCACCTTAACTAAAATTCCCTAATATCTATATCCTTAATAATCGTGTAATAATCTTAAAAACTCTAGCAATGTTCAAAGAATGACCAAAAACATGTCTTTGGATCTTGATTAAAAAACCTGGCCTAATGTCTATACTCTTAATAATCATAACGAACACCAAAAACCTGTCTATGCATTGTGGCTAGAAAACTCTAAATCATGTAATAATCTTAAAAATTATAGCAGTGTTCGATAAACGACCATGAATAAACATGTCTAYGTAGCTTGACTAAAATACTCTAAAATCTATACCCTTGATTAACAGATCAAATTAAAACAGTTTTCCGTGTTTGATAGTCTGATCAAAACATGCGGGATGTTGAGAGAACGCGAGAAGAGCTTCTCGAGTGTTCTCCCAACATCCCRTGTGTTTTGATCAGAGTATCAAACACGGAAAACTGTTTTTGATTTGTTTTATAAAACAACAAACTTGCGAAAAGATCGAAAAAGGCAAAATTTAAGTAAATTCCCCCTACCTGCTGTCTTATTCAAACTGACCAATGAGYGCGCACRATAGATTAAAATCTGACAGTTGCAATACTCGTACGCGCTAAATGACGACAGCATGTTTTGATTCTCTCATCAAACATGGTTTTTGACCAATCATAGCGCACGTAGTATCCGTATTATTTTATAAATTTACACATAAATCTTAAACGTTCTAGCAATGTTCAATGTGCTTGAAATAACAGATTTTGTGCATGTTGCATGAAAACAGCCTTTTTTTCTTCACACCCCACAACTGTTGTCAGTACAGAATCTGCATATGGGTTGAACAGCCAAAATGTCCATTATGATAACATTATACYGGTGGACGTCATAACCTTGATAATATCTCTCCTTCAGTTCAAAATGCAATGGTTCGTACTTTCTTTTCTTCATCTATTATTTATTGTTGTTATTTATATTATTATAATGATGATAATAATTATTATCGTATAATTTTTCAATTTCAATTATAACTGAATAACTGACCTCATAAACGAAACGTTTTACTTACCAAAGTCATGTAAATAGGCAACAGCACTTGCTAGCTGTTTTATGACAGTCCATGTTTCCTGGAGTATGACATATAAAGTAATTAAAGCACTGAATCAAATGGTGAAATACAAAACAGTATCCCAGATTGCCTGTTGACCAACTGACCAACTTACTCTTCTCTCAAAAATACTCAACTTTTCACAGCTGTGAAAAGGTCGACAGATGGCTGTTTGACAGTGGACATGTTCTTAACTCACTGACATCTTGTCATCATTCCAATGTTAGGGGGCCAACTGTCAAATGGCCATGGCCGCGAAACATGCTAAGATTTTTATTGCCTGACCTGGTCAGTTTTCTTTCAAATTTGACAAATCACTTTCACCTCTTCATTCCAAAATCAATTCAAAATAGGTTTTAGGGTGCCTTGAGATTACAAAGACAAATTTTCAAGTTTCAAGGGAATGTATAAAGTACTAGAACCCAGGTCCTCATGGACAGGAATGGTAATTTTGGATAGAAAATTCAAATTTAGTCGCTTATAGCTCGTCTATTAGTATGGTGACACCCTATTTTTTTCTSTTCTTTCAGTATGAGCAATAAAAATACTATGTCCCTGCTCGACATGTTTATAACGAGGAACGTATTTTGAGGTGCCAAATTGCGTACAATTTTGCTTCTAGAATTCAGTTTGAAGCTTATTTGCAACTCATCAAATTAATTTTACAACTTGAAACRCTAGATAAACATAAGACCCGTCCTTTAGATTATTCTAGGCTTTTGGAATAGTTGAAATCCTTCACTCTCCACACAAAACCTTAAGTGTATGTATGAAACAAAATCCAATGTGAATGATTGGAATTACCCCCTATTATGATCTCTTATAACTTGAGATTTACAATAAAACTGCTAAAAATGCTAATTTCCCCCTATTGCTGTATGATCTCTTATGACTTGAGAACCAAGTCATTGACCCCTACTTTCCCCCCACTTTTTTGAAAGCAACTGTAAGATCTTTAAATGACTAGATTAAAAAAATTCATGTATGAATTCCTTCTGTCCAGTAATACCTTAAGTAAGCCTTCCATAATTAGAAATTGGCTCTGAATCATAAATTAATAATCAATGATACGATATGAGTGATGATGGAAATAACATAATTGTGGGAGATAATCAACTATTGACTTACTTTTTCAGTAAGCCTCTTCTTTTTTTCTAACAGCTTTTCCAGTCCTCCAGCATCACAAAGCTCCATGACTAAATACATCCTCTGAAAACAGTGTCAAAACAATGTAACCCTCCTTAAATAAAGTTTATTGTATTGTATTGTAATGTCATTTAAAGATTTAAGAATGTTATATAAGATCGTAAAGTGTGTTGGAAATAAAGTTATACAGTGTACTGTTGTTTAGCCTACCCACGACATTAACATAACAGGGGAGGTCAATTACTTAAATGTAAAAGCTGAAAGCTGCATGGATTGGAGTGGTCAGTCTCTCCCTCACAGCCATCATCCCAGGCCCCCACAACAGCTGCTCATTTGAATACATTGCTTCATGAGAATGTACATGTACCAATGAAAAGCCAGCTTCTACTGTATTTTCTGGAAAATTTGACATTTGATTTTCCATTTCTTTTGGTTTTCTAAAACCGTTTAGAGGTTTTTTGCTAGAACATTTCAACATTTCTCCAGGTTTTTTGATTTCAAAAGTTTTCCTGTTTCCAGAGAACAATAATTATACTAAAACTGCTCAAATCTTCAAATTTCGTATTTTTAAAGGGGGTTTATTTTATGGATGGTTTAAGGAGGTTTAGGAATCAAAGGGTTAATGATCGCTGCTAAGTAGACTAGGGTTCRAGGAAAGTTAATCATTGATAATGGACTTTATTAAATATAATAATATATCATAATCTTAAATTTTATATAGTCCTCATGAATTCAAAGCAATAAGCTGCATGACAAATAATTACCTTAGAAGTTTCATAAATCTCCTCTAGGTGGACTAAATGCTCATGTTCAATTTTTTTCAATATCATAACTTCTCTTTCTAGCAGCTTCACTGCAGAGCTCCCAGCCTGAGTTACAAAATAATATAATCAAAAAGTAAGGATTTCTGATCATAAATCTTTAGAAATGCCCTTCAATGCCAATGAAAGATAATTTAACTGTTACAGGGGACCATACCATGCTGTCAAGAAGGTCACAACGCTTCAGTGTCAGGGTAATGTTCTTAAACGGTTCCAGTCATACCATCTCACTATCAGTGTGTACAAGTGGGAGATTGCAATTCTGGTTTACAGTCAACTTGCCCACGGACCAACTTGCCCACGTATAAAATCATCGATCATGGGTTGACAACTCGCCCATGCAAACTCGCCCACATTTAGAATCATAGTGTTTAGAATATATTAARACTAAATTAAAGTAGTTCGTGATTTATTTACCAAACTTACTTGACACTTAAGCTCAAGACTTCAAAACGTGAGCATTTTATGGACCATAATGGACTYGCCTGGTCAAAAACAAAACAACTCATAAACCAATGTAAATGTATAAAAAGTTTGCCTTCTGAAGTCTTGGGCTTAAGCGTCAAATAATAAGTTTGGTAAATCACGTACTACTTTAATGTAGTCTTAATATACACTGTACGGTTAGATATTTCTTAAAGTGATTTTACATGTGGGCGAATTGGCGTGGGTGAATTGGTCCGTGGGYGAATTGACTGTAATTCAACTGTAGAGCAACAAATAATATTTAAACTGTTGTTGCTAGTATACAACGGGTTAAATGGACTACCTCCTACCTATATATCTGAGCTCCTTTRTTATTGAACATACATATTCTCACTTCTATCTGGTAATCAGGGACTATTAGAGGTTCCCTATTMTAAATTAAAAGCCTATGGGTTATTTTCAGTGACTGCTCCTAAACTATGGAACACATTACCCGTCTTCATAAAACATTATTGTTATTAGTCATGACTCGCTTTAAGCTGTGCAGTGAGGTTTCTGTATCTTGTATCTCCTATACTGAAATGCTAAGAAAGCCGAGAGGGGACTTCAGACTTCAGAGATAATCATTTCAGAGATAGCAATTTCAGAGATAGTAATTTCAGAGATAGTAATTTCAGAGATAGTAATTTCAGAGATAATAATTTCAGAGATAATAATTTCAGAGATAATGATTTCAGAGATAATAATTGGGAATTAATATATTTGCAAATTCTTGCAGTTTTCTTTAACAGCACTAACATAAAAAAAAGTTCGCAATTTTCTTGATACCGTATTAAAATAATTAATATCATATACTAGTAAAAAAAGTTCGCAAATTTATCAACTTTCATAATTTCCAGCGATGGTAATTTCAGAGATAAAACTCATTATGCAATGACTTCAAGTCTTCGCTTCGTCTGATTTAGATCTTCGTATGCATTATGAACTCCATTATAGCCCCTACATTTTGGTAAGTAAAAGTCATTCAATGAATTTTAATTGTATCATATGAGCTATACTATCGGGTGGTCTGCATTTAGGCCTAAAGTATATATCATGCTATACTTGTTTAGAGTGGATGCCAGTGGATACCTGATAACCCCAAAACATAGGGACTATAACGGAGTTCGCAATCGGCATACGAATCGATCTAAATAGAGAAGACGAACCAAAGACTTGATGTCATTGCATAATAAGTTTTATCTCTGAAATTACTATATTATTGTTAACTCTGAAGTCTGAAGTCCCTTCTCGGCTTTCGTAGAAATGCTGGGGCAGTTGTAATTATGAACCATGTTTTAAACAAATAAACTATAGACATAAAARCGTCCATCAATAAGTTACTATGGATTTTGTATTTTTTCATAATAGTACCATCCTGGAACTAATAGTGCCAAATCCAGGTTTAAGCTGATATTTTGGAAAACTCCGAAAAAATGGTCGAAACCAAGGACTAGGCCCAAGCTTTACTGTGTGAAGGTTAATTTTAAGTCCTAATAAGAAAATTGAAGGAAAAATGATTAACGAAAAAGAGTTATTTTTACCTTGTTGAAAATGACATCGAAAATAGGGATTTTTTGTTTTTTTTGAAAAGGATTCTTTGTTAGAATTTTGGATATTTCTCCAGGGTTTTTTTTTATTTAAAATTTTTTTTTGGTTTCCTAGAGACTATTTTAGACTGGTTTTCAGGCCAACTCACTAGAAGTTGTTGAAGCTGGAATTTTTCTCATAAAGGTGCTGACACACGGTGCAACATTGCATGCAATATTGCACGCAACAGGACTTGTAGCAGTGGCGTCTACCCCAAACTTGTTGCATGCAACAAATCTGAAGTTGAATCGTGCTCTACTCTTGCAACATTGCGCACAACAAATTTCATCATGTGAACATGGCTGCAACATTTTGAAGATTCCAGCCAATCAACTTGCACCAAATTTATAACTGCTGACCAAATATCTTAACAAAGCAGGCTGACACAAGCGATGTTGCGTGATTTTGTTGCAATGTGTGTCACCCCCATTCAAATTTGTTGTTTGCAATGTTAAGTGCAATGTCGTACAGTGTGTCAGCACCTTAAGGTGGATTTTTTCTGAGTGGTTTCAGGCGTGGTATGAGTCAAAGGGGGCAGATATTTTCTTTTTGAGAGTAAATAATTTCCTTTAAACATAAATACAGTAATGTAATCGGAGACTCAAATTCAAAAATTCCCATATACTAATTAACAATAATATTTAGACCCGAATATAATAAAATAAAGCCCGAATGACTGGCTGAGCTACAGTGCAGTCCATAAACATGTGTACATTTACCGCGTTTTTTACGCGAGCAGATCGCGATCTGCTCGCACCACGTGCTCGCGATTTGCACGCGCTCTGCTCGCGATATGATCGCACCTTTCTCTATTGTTGTCCTCGATTTGCTCGCGATCACAGCGTGCTCGCGTGCATGGTGCGCGAGCAAAATCATGAAAAGCTAAATATCACAAGAATTTCAGAATTCCTAATCAAAATCGGGTTTCCATCTTCGTATTCTTTTTTTCAAGCAGTTGGTCGTGTTAGGGCAAATTCGTAAAGAAACGTTGAACAAACTCCGCCAAGAAGGAATGATCATAAGGCTTTAAAGCTTTCGGTGTTTACATTACATTTAAAAGTTACAATATTCTTTCCAGGGTATATTTTCTATGGCTTCCGAGATTTGCCGTACATATCTTTCTGTAAACGCAAGCAAACAACGCCGCTTTAAGTTTTCAGATTTCTTCGCCATAAAGTAACGCGTACTTTGCTTTCAGTGGCTAATCTTTATTATAAACCTACTCTGCATCATTCTCTTTTTCATTTCAGGAACGTTTTTATACTGTAAATAAGAGGGCGATGAAAATACAAAATACCTTATGCGCGAAACATCGATCGACAAAAGCGACGCCATATTGTTTTCGTGTAATCAACAAGCTTTTCCTAGTCGTTTACTGACGCTTTCTTTTCTTGAAATTCATTAGACTTTGTTATTTGCACTAAAAAAACTAAGACGAAATGATCTAGCGACTTTATCTGGAATAAATTTGAGGCCATTTAATATCTGATGTAAACGCCAAAAAGTTAACGATTGAGTGGAACGATCGAGCTCAGTTTACGGTGTTTCATAGGCCGGGGTCTTTTCGCTACCAATAAGTTTTTAGCCTCAGTAGAGTAGTTTGTTGAAAACATTACAATAGCTTTCCCCTTAATCGAAAAATCGAATGTTTAGAACATATTTATTGCTTCTGACTTGCAAAGGTTCGAGCGAGAAAAACCAAAATACTTTACGTTCGACAAACGACGCCATATTGTTTTCGTGTAATCAACAAGCTTCCTAGTCGTTTACTGACGCTTTCTTTACCTAGAATCCATTAGAYTTTATTCTTTTCACTAATAAAGTTAAAGGAAAAGATATGGTGTTTTTAGATGGGAGATGTCGTGTGTTGCTGAATCTGACATCTACAAAAAATATGATTTTAGACAAGCTCACGAAAACAATATGGCGTCGTTTGTCGATCGATGTTTCGTGGAAGGTATTTTGGTTTTTCTCGCTCGAACCTTGGCAAGTCAGAAGCAATTAATATGTCCTAAACATTCAATTTTTCGATGAAGAAGAAGGATATTGTAATGTTTTCAACAAACTACTCTACTCAGACTAAAAACTTATTGGTAGCGAAAAGACCCCGGCCTATGAAACACCGCGGCCTATGAAACACCGTAAACTGAGCTCGATCGTTCCACTCAATCGTTAACTTTTTGGCGTTCACATCAGATATTAAATGGCYTCAAATTTATTCCAGATAAAGTCACTAGATCATTTCGTCTTAGTTTTTTAGTGCAAATAATAAAGTCTAATGGATTTTAAGAAAAGAAAGCGTCAGTAAACGACTAGGAAAAGCTTGTTGATTACACGAAAACAATATGGCGTCGCTTTTGTCGATCGATGTTTCGCGCATAAGGTATTTTGTATTTTTCTCGAACTTTGGCAAGTTAAAAAATGATAAAGAATAATAAAGCTACCCAAAACACACATTTCATAGATTAGAGTATGGGGAATTAAAGTCATCCGAGTCATGAGATGTAGAAACGGACTCGATATGGTAGAAGTGAACGCTGTCCTTGGTCAATTTCACTGATCGTATCGTGAAATGATCGCTCCAAATATGCTTCAAAACCATATACAAATGTCTTTCAACMGACTATGTTTCTTCTTTACTGATCGTAAAGCCTTATGATTATTCCTTCTTGGCGGAGTTTGTTCAACGTTTCTTTACGAATTTGCCCTAACACGACCAACTGCTTGAAAAAAAGAATACGAAGATGGAAACCCGATTTTGATTAGGAATTCTGAAATTCTTGTGATATTTAGCTTTTCATGATTTTGCTCGCGCACCATGCACGCGAGCACGCTGTGATCGCGAGCAAATCGCGAACAACAATAGAGAAAGGTGCGATCATTTTGCGGTCAAAACGCGTGCASAGCGCGTGCAAATCGCGAGCATGTGGTGCGATCTGCTCGCGATTTGCCCGCGGTCAAATGTACACATGTTTATGGACTGCACTGTACTAGTGGTCTATTGGTGATAGACCACTAGTAGTGAAAATCTTTGGTTTTTGAAAACCAAAACAGTAGCAGCTAACTCACATTTTACTGATTAGGAGGTTTAGATTAAAACAATTACACCTTTGGCTTCATTGGCTATTCACCATTCAGGCTAAGGTAGTACCGGATCTTCAAAATTCTTCTATGAATTTTTTWAAAAACTCTGTCATTTGAAGTTCATTGTTAGGGTATTCAAATAATGAAAAAAGAGAAGGGGGTCACCGTATTGGTTATCAAGATATGAGGCTTCAAGAAGGAGGGATTTTTCAGTTTTCTGAGCGTTTTTTCCGAAAATCTGCCTCCTCTAATAAATTCGAATTACTCGAATCGATTTAACAAAGAAAAACAGAAAACTGTTTTAAACTATAGGTGTTGAGTCTAGAAAAGATATCTAGATAAAAAATCCATCAAATCTTTTGCAAGTAGTGTGAAAAGTTAATTCTAGAAGCGAAATTGCTTGTAATTTGGCGCAGTCATATGCGTGYGTAGTAGTAAAAATGCTGAAAATTTATGACAATTTTTTCCCCCCGCATTAAATCTAAAGAAAATGATATCTAGCTTCGAATAAAAAGAAAAAAATTGGGGTACCGTACTAATAGACGAGCTATGAGCGACTAAATCCAAGTTTTTGGTCAAAAAACACAAATCCTGTCTGCGCTGGACTGGGTTCTAGTACATTAACCTCCGTCTAAAACATGTCAAATCGTCTTTGTAATCTCCAGAGAATCTAAGACGTATTTTGAATTGATCAAGTCAAATTCATTTTTTGTTACTTTATTTTTATAAAATTATGAATTTGTTGTTTTGAATCAAAAGAGTGATCAAGTCAGGCAATGAAAATCTAAGCATGTTTTGAAGGAAACATTTCATTTTTGCCTCAAAAGTTCCAKGAAATACTTTGTTAAATTATAGAAAAGGTTCAACTTTTGACATTATTTAAATCAATTTTCAAAACAGCACAAATAAAGYGTAAAAAACAAGATGCGCGAAATGGATGCGCAGTAGCAAGGGTACAGAACTACCTTAAAGTAATTCCCTTGTTTTGCACTGCGCATTTTTCTGCGCGTGCAACTTAATCCATGGAACGAACAAAGTTTAGGCATTTTTCTTTTGGAAACTAAAAAAGAAACATGTTCCAATCCAATCTTCACTTTTTTCTCTGTTTTGAGTAGAGAAATTAGAATTCGTATCTGACTTGCCCTAGTCTTCAATCGGAATGTGTCAGTTTTYGACTATTTTGAGATGTTTTTTTCAACATAAATCAAAAACGAGAATGGTGGCCCCCAATTTTTATTTCAGATTTTTGATTAATGTGATGCTTATCATTATATATCAAAATATGAAGGAAATTTTATTGGATAAATTTTGAAATATTTTGATGGGAATAGTTGACATGTACAATTTTTGGACGGTTGTAGAGGCACACATAACTGCATTTTTCACTAATAGTTCAAGAATCATAGTCATCCAATGACTTTGATGGATTTMATAGTTTAGATTATCTAGTAAACTTCGAGTCATAAGTATATTTCATTTTATRAAAGTACTTTTAACTGTGAATAAAAGTTCTTGGTTACAGCTTCCGGTTGCTACTGCATTTCACTATAAAACTCATAAATTGCCCTATAACACTATGACGTCACATCAAAATAATCTATTGTTTTAGCACTAAGGACCATGGTCGCCAGAGGGGCCAAAATAGCAGCAAAACGAATTAAATCACAATAAAAAATGGTTAATTAGACGGGGGAAGGTGATAACAGATAAATGTTGTACTAAGTATCCCGAACGAAAGAAAATTTCGCCTAAATTCCTATCATTCTTGCCCATGTAAACAAGCTGTGATGTCATGTTATAGGTCAATTGACATATTTGGAGAGCATCTAGCGAAAAAATGAGAATGGTGACCCTATCTTTTTATTGCAGTTTTTTAATTGTCCATAGCATAATTAATAATTAATGTCCACGCAAAGTTTCAGGACAAAGTTATTGGCCAAATTTCTTTCAAGGGAATTACCTTAAGGTCTAATTGTTAATTAGTATGGGAATTTTTTGAGTCTCCATTTACATTATTTATGTTTGAATTAATCACATCAGCACGCAATCAATAGAGTTATGGATTTCAGGATCGACCACACTAATGAACCAATCAAAACATGCATTATATCATGGGTATGTTATAATATAAATTTGTTTTTGAGTTCAAACTAGAACAAAAATATAATGATAACGGTTTGAGTGAACTTTGTATGAACTGAAAAGTCAGAAGCTACAATAAAGAAGTCAAAAACAAATAATCTCATCTTTTTTAATAAAATGCACAGCAAAATTTATTTTTCCTTGGAATTTCAAAAACAAAATTCTTATGTACAGAAGCTTTGGCATTATTTGGATCTTCATAACTTATGTATGTAAATTTCAATACAAATTTTGTCTATTGCCATACAGATCTTTATTCATTTTTTAAAGTTTCAAATATTCACCTTATGAGCTTTGGCTTTTCGTTATAATCAGAGGTGCCAAATTTAGTTCTCTAGTATGGAATGTTCTTCTACTGAGTGCACCTGAACAATGATAATGATGGTTTTCTGGCCAAATGACTAAAATATATAATGCATCAAAAGAAACCGCAGCTATATTTCTGATCTAAGGATAATTTGTCTTAGAAAAGTCCTAAATGAACCTTACCTTTTCTTTATTAACTGCCTTGATCGCCCATCTTGTCCCTGTTTCGATGTGTTTAGCTTCCTTGACGACCCCAAAACTACCTTTGCCAAGCATTTCACCAAACTCATAAATTTCCTCAATCTGTTTTTCGTCTTCTATTCTAGTGTGTTGTATATTCGTTCGCCATGCATTTGGAGCCTCCTTTCTGTTAGAATACTGGGCCATTATTTAGCCCAACACAAGAATATTTTCAAGGAAATATTTAACTAAATTTCCATGATGCACAGTACAAATGATTCTGGAAAAAAAGGACCAATCAATCAGTCTTTTCGCAGGCTTAGATCAGAACTTACATACCTTATGCTTATACGTCTTTGACATATTCTCGGCATTTTATTACTGCATTTTTAAAATTCAAGATAATGAAGTGCAGCATGGCAGATCCCTAATTTTTTTCAATCTCTGAGCTTCTAAAAGGGATTCATTCATGGCTTCCTACAAGGAGTACAAAATTTTTGCGTTTTGTTGTTGGGGCGCCGCTAATTCGCCCTGGTTGTTTTGAAGAACAATTCTGGAATCTAATGACCCTGAGTAAACCATACGTTCATTATTCAAGGCTTTAATGGAGTAGAAGAATTAAGCAAAGGGAAGCAAAGTTGTATCATATATCGAAACTTGATGCAAATGAAAGGCTTACGACAAACTTTTAAGCTTTTTACATTAAGTCCTAAGTCATAAGAAAAAGTAAATGAGTAAAAACAACACAGTTAATTCTCGTATAACAAGAATCACTTCCAATGAGATCATTTCAAAAGTTTACATTATCTGTGAATGGTAACCAAGGAAGCGAACAAGGGAAAAAAATCAGGAACACCACGGCTTTCGGACAATTTGTCCGAAGCGCCAAAAAGGACTTTGGTCGTGATTCAACTGAGCTATTAAGCTTACTTCGCTCACTAAAAACCTACCTTTTCGTAAATTAGAATTCTCCAGCAATTTATCTACTCGTTGTTTCATAGTTACCACCACCTTGGCAATCGCTAGAGCCCTGGAGCTCACAAACCAAGCATAAATAGGGAGAAACCGTAAAAGCCAAACTTTACATAACTTTGACAATCGCTCGCTCTCGATCTCGAACTGAGATAGACTGGTAACAGGCAGGTCCAGTCTATCGCGGTAATCATAACTAAGGGCGCCCAAATTATTTAATTCAAATCACAGGCAGTCCAAGCTCTGTCCCGAACACTGTCCCTCCTATAATGTTGTGTTGGTTATTTACGACTTAATGTAAAGCGCCTTTGGTTGTATCCATATAGAAAGGGCGCTATATAAATCATAACTCATTATTTATAGGCAACATTGACTTTATCCAACCTCGTTCCCAGGGCCCTAGAAGACCCTGGGAACGAGGTTGGCCATATCAGCGGAAGCTCGCGAAACGCAAGCGTATTGAGAACGAGAAGTAAAATCAGGAGGCTAATCAGGAGAATTTAGTTTAAAGCAGGTATTGGTATCTTATCCTAAAACGCCCGAAAAACATAAAAATACAGAATATTACCTACTACGTAACTTCATTCAGGTATTTACCTATGTTAATTACTTATTTTTCAATGAAATGTTCCTTGTTGTTAGCTTGAAAGTTCAGTTCTAGAGTAAGTTGCTTGTCACTTGAAAATGGCGGAATTCTAAATGTTGTAAGCTTGCTATCACTTGCTATCACAGACTTGATAAGGGGCGGATACAGCGTGGTGGATTGGGTGCATTTCCACCCCCCCCCTACCCTTTTAGAGTATCAGTGAATATTTTTAGGAAAAAAGAAGAAGGAATAATATATATAAATTTAGGCACGGCCTAAAAGCTGAGCTTCCAATAAGGCAGGGAGCCCAATTTAGATAAAACTGAAAGATGAAAATGCAATCRGGCAAAAAATCTTCAATTTTTTCTCTCCATCGAGATGATGATAATGTCCCCCATAACGAAAACCATGAAGCGAAAAAATGAAATGGAAATGGACAATATTGTTTTCTTCGCACGAGTCTTTCTATTCAACCTTAGTACTCTCCCACTTAGGAATTTTGTCACATATACACAACCCACCACCGTCCCCCCCAGGGGCTAGTTTTGTTCTTAAAAAATTCTTCGACGAAGTTTTGCATGGCCGACATTTTTACGCTTTGAATTCCTGGTGAATTTTACTTGAAAAACGAAAGATAACTGCAGATAATCCAATAAAATGTCAGGTTTAGTGAAATTTACCTTGGATGTCTTTCATTAAAATTCAAATTTCGGAGATTTCCTAAATTTTTATGGACAAATGATCACAGCAGATAAAGACAGACTAGAAAACTGCTCAAGAAAAGGTGAGCAAAACATAAGCTTACTTTTACTTCTTTTACATGACAATGTTTGGTTATCCATATGAAGAGTTTAGGTTTTTATACGAAACCATATTTTTACTGAAATGATGTCACAAGAAAATAAATTTATTGCATCATTTGCCAAAAATGTTAAAACTGGGAAAAGAGCCTGAATTCAACGACCTTCATTTAATAATTAAGTGAAAAGCAGAATTGCCGGAATGTTCCACTGATTTAATTCCTTTTATATAAGCCTTAACTACTTTTTGATACGAAAAGATACGGAAATCACGAACGACYGAAACGTTTTCGAAGAACAAAGTTTACATTCAGTTAAACTTGTCAAGAACAACTGAGACAAAATAGAAAATAATGCAAAATGCAATGCAAAATACAAAATGAGAAATTTCTTTGTCTTTGAATATCTGGTGTAATTTTACGTTTCATTCAATATTTAAATAAATTATCTGTAGAAAGATATGAAATTATTGAATGAAAGTCTTTTTTGTTTTGCCGATGGGATCCACCACAGGAGACAAACAAAGCTGCAAAAACATACGATAGTTGGTTAAAAACAACTGAATTGTTAATGATTTACAAAGCTAATAAAGGATGAATATTTGCTCTCCGGCTTATATTTCATCCAGCATTAAAATAAATTAAGCTTATCTATAGAAATACTAAATGTTTTGAGAGAAATTCTTTGATTTGTCATTGAGAAATTATTGTCAAAAAATAATAATATACGATTGTTTGCTAAAAAAACACACACCTGACTTCTTGCAGAATACTTCTTGATCCACCTTTGACTACATGAAAGTTTTTTTTTATTTATTGTTGGTCTATAATTTGTCCTAAAGCGATTTTTCTGTGCAATTGAGAGCCGCATTTGCGAGTAGTTTTGCTTTGACATCAAGCGGATCCCTGTGTTGTCTACAGGGAAGTGAGCCATAAAAATCAATTAGATGGTTTACCATTTTTTCTTAAGTATCGTGTTCCACTCGCACGGGCCAAATTGTATCTAATTACAAAATATGAATCAACAACAACAAATATGCAGTGCACTGTATGTTATAATTTAATCATTTTTTCCCTTTGTACTGCAAAAAGGAGGTTCAAAAGAACTTTAGAAAAAATTATCCACCCCTCTTTTTAAAGTCCTGCTAAAAGTCCCTGTTGATGACTGGTAATTAAAAAAGGCATAATTTTTTGTGCGAGGTATAACAGGAAATTATCTTTTATGTTATAGATAATAGACTTGCAAATATCTTATGGCACACCAAAGACCTTTGGTTGATCAAATGTCAGCAATGAATCAGTAAGTACATTAAGCTTAACTTAACGTTTAAGTGCTTTAAGGACAGTGCCTACTAATTGAGAATCAATTATTTTTACTCGGGCTCGACCCGAGTAAGAAAATGCTGTTCATATTTGTACGTCAAATCTGCAATTGGTCACTCATGCGCAGGCRCTATCTCTTAGTGCAGCATAGGCTCAGAGTTTTTCGATCACATGTCGTTTAGCTTAGTTATTYGTATTCTCAAAGAATTGATGTAAAATAATACAATTAACAGCAAACAGTCAAACCTTTTTCTCCTGATATGTATTAAAGTAAACAGAAACGCTTAAATGTACAATCGCCGTTCTGAATGAAAAGTAGATTGACCGCCGGACATCACAAATTGCCGAAGTAATGTTCTTGTATGTTGAAATCTGCGAAGGAACAAATCTACACAATAGATGTTGCTTGAGACAACTAACGCAAATTCGCTCAAAATAATCAGTAATTTACAGACTTGAATGAAGACAAATTAGATAGCATTTCTAAACGAATTTGTATAAAATATTCRCCTAGTTTCATAGTGCCGTGACCCTTGAAGGTCAAGATAAGTTGTAACGTAAACCAACGTAATACGCATAACACAACGCTTTTTGTTGATCGTCCCAACTGTATCATAACAGCCGATTATCTTGTATATTCAGTTTTGAGCTTGTAGGTCGAATGATTCCTGAAATAAAGCACTCAGCCCGCCCTTAACTTGAAAACAGAGAAAGCATTAGCAAATAGATCTTCCAATTTTACTAATACTTGACTCAGTTGACTCCATTGAAGTTTGAAGACGTCTTTCGTAGTTGAAGTTCAGACAGTAAATTCATCACAGAATTCGCTTCCAAACTCAACAAAATATCAAAGAACTAAAGAAGAGCCTGGGCAGGCAGGCAAGATGGCGGTTCGTTTTTGAAATTGTCCGTACTCCAAGTTGTTTAACTCCAAAAATATGAATTGGTGATCGGAGTAAAGCCAATTGATACGTTGTTATAAAAAAAACCTCTATGAGCAAGAGAAGAGTTAGGGAGCCAGTATCGTCGTCATCATCTTTGGAATTATCACCAGACCCGAAAACTTTAAAGAATGATGGACGATGAACAAGAAACGCCAACGCTATCGATGATATACAAGAAAATAACAGAGATTCAAGAAGATGTTAAAGCTATGAAGCAGGAAAACTCTGATATTAAAAAGATATATGAAGAGATTAAGAATGCTGTACAATTCCAATCTAATACTATTGATGAGTTAACAAGAGAAAATGCTCAACTCAAAGCCATGTGCGAAGAACAACAAGACGAGCCTGGTTACACTCAAAGTTAGAATGAATAAACTGGATGAAATACAAGATGATCTAAATCAATATCAGAGACAATATGAACTCKAAATCCATGGCATTCCAGAACAAGAAGAGGAAGATCTTGATGCATTAGTTGAAGAGCTAGCTAAAGCCATTGGAGTAGACTCGAAGAAAACGACATTGATATTGTTCACAGACTTCCATCTAAAGTATCTCCAAGACCAATCATAGTGAAATTTAAAAACTATGATGACAAGAAGAAATCTTTACGAAGCCAGATAGAAACTTAGGAATTATAAAAACGATTCTGATGGAGGGAAATTAAATGGAGCAAATAAGGTTTATATTAATGAAAACCTAACAAGTCAAAGGAGAAAATTGTTTGCAGAAGTATGTAAACGAGCCAAACAAAATAAGTGGCACAGTACATGGACCCTGGATGGAAAAGTATTTATRAGGAAGGAAAAAGGCGGTAAAGTTTACAAAATTGCTCAGGAGGCAGACTTAGAAGAGATTTATTTCAACTATTGAGAAGATAAGTAATATATTATTAAAGTAACTAGATGTAATTCATTAATGGATTTTATAAAATATATATTTTTTCAATAACCTATCTGTAGCCTAAATATGCAAATTAAGAAAACTTTGGGCGGAGTTGTAGACTYGGAGTCATTTTGTGTTGTTATAGTTTGCATAGTTGTAGTACAATAGCTGATTGTTTCTGAATTCCCAGCAGTATTGAAAAAATTGAGCTTGTCATCACTTTCAATACTGGCCAAACTCGTTCTCATTTGGACTATTGTTTTTGTTTTGTATGTCTAATTGCGGAGTTAAAAGTATTTTTGGTGCTAGGGCTTTCATGAACAAAAGGCAAGGAACTGTTTTCATTGGTCACGGATGAGCCTGAATACTAAATTTATATCACTCAATGTCCGAGGAATGTGCGACTACAAGAAAAATAGAAAAATGTAAATTGGCKATCTAAACATGGGGGTAATGCAGGGGTCTTATTCTTGCAAGAAACTTATAGTACACCAGATTTAGAAAACAAGTGGAAGCAAAGGTTCAGGGGGGAGGTAATTTTCTCACATGGAACTACACGTAGTCGAGGGTAGCCATCCTTCTAGGAGAAAGATTAGAATATCATATTAATGCTAAAATAATGGCAGATGGCAGATT